AGTGCTTCAGTCACGGCGGCAGGATTGCGTCCCTTTTGATCACAACGACGTGCAAACTCGAAAATCTTTCTTAGACTCTTGACCAGATCTGGTATCTCATCCATCGGATCTTTTTCTCCTAGCATGGTCTGATGCAAGTGCTCTTCGTACGGATAAAGCCATATTTCATACATGTTCATGAGAGACTTCGACGCTGATGGTGTAGTTTTGTTGTCGTATCCCAAGTCGTGGACAACATCTGACCACACCTTATATTTGCAAACGTTGCGGAATCCTCCTCGAATGTCTACAGCTTTACTCATTGAGAAGAGGTCAACTGCCTGACGCCTAAAATACAGGATATCAGGCATAATGTTTCCTCGCTGTGCGTGAAATATCGAAAGTCTTTGGAGAAACGCCAAGCTGGCAACTGTAGGTTCGGGCTGTGAGTCGAAATGTTCATCGCGTTTGAAACGCGTTCGCTTCAACCAGGCAATCGATGCTTTGAAAAGGGAAAGATCGAGGTCAAAAGTTCTCCGAATCTTTGCTTGCAAGAGGTCAGAAATATTGGGGGCATGCATCAATTCAGAGACCATTCGATGCATAAACACTACCTTCCCGACGCTGACTTCCAGCACACCTTGGCATATTCGTTGGAGATGCTGATGCACGGTAAGATGGAGTTTTTGAGCTTGTTCGCTATCATATGGCAGAAGTTCTGTGGGTTGATGAAATGCGAACATATCATCATCATACCCCATATCATGGAAGAAAAAAAGTTCTGCAGGCAGTGGCTGGTCTGCATCGCGAGCAATTGTCAAAGCCCCTGCCATCTTTTCTTGACGGGACACGTCCACTGACTCCAGTGCAAGCATTAACAAACTGCCCAGCTCGTCAGGAATCGCCTCAACTCTTTGAACACGATTAAAAACACGATGATGAAGGAACAGGCCTTCAAGGAGGAGTCGTGTAGCAAATACCGCCCACAGGAATACTCCATTGGCTTTGCCAGAAATATATCCAGAGAGATCTTTTGGTAAGTCGTGGCTGAGTCTTGAAGAGCGGATCTTCCTTTCTGGCGAATCTTCCTTTCTGGCGAATCTGCTTGCAAGAAAGAATCGATATATCTGCTGATATCGCCGTAGTTCATTTTATGTAAACATATACTCGCTATAGACAATCTGTCGAAGCAATCCTGAAATACACTCCAAGGCCTGGAAGAGACACATAGTTTGATGAAAGGCGACTGAGCGATGTTTTCTATCTGTTCACAGATAATCGCATGATCGCCCTGACACTCGTCTAATCCATCGATGAAGAAACAGACATTGACTGGAAAATCAGTGTCCATTATCATGCGACTCAGCGCAGATTCGAGTTCAGACACAGTCCACGAGGATTGTACTAATAATGCGTCCCGAGGTGCTAGAAACAGCTTCGTGGTCAAACTCGGTTTTGCGCTGATGATTCCGCATATGAGAGATCGTAAGAGTCCTTCCAGTGATTTCTGAGTTGATGTACCATTGATGTCGAAATAATGACTGATCGCTAACAGCTCTCTGTGACCGGCCCAGGTTTCAAGAAGCCTTCGAGCATCTTGATGATCAGCGATAAACTTCATAAATGTTGACTTGCCGGAGCCTGCCTTTCCAGTGACCCAAAAGAGTTTTTCGTCTGAGGAGAGCCAATTACGCAGCGATGCTGAAGCGTCTCTAGTTTCGGTTGCATCTTGATGATTAGACATCCATTCGAATGTCCCTTCGTGAGGTTCTGAGATTCGACCTTGGCGCAGCAATCTCTTGGGATAATCGAGCCGGTACAAGATCCGTATCGCTTTGGGAAACTCTTGCACGCCCATTGATAGCTCTGCGAATTTGTCACACAAGCGTTCCCAAGCTGCCGGTGCAAGGCGTGGAGAGGGCATGGCCTTAGCAAGCTGATCAAGATGGCCTGTGGATCGTTGGAGCTTTTCGAAAGCGCTGGGTTGTGCACCGCCAAATAGACCGAAGTCTTCATTGATGCGCCCGAGCTGATCTTGTATATGCTGGATATACTCCCTATTTTGTGTCAGTAACGATAATCGAGAAGGAAGTCAACCTTGACTTACCCAGTCAAGAGATGCATCCTAGGTATTGCAAAGCTTGAGAGACTTTGTATATCGACCTTAACGCTTTCCATAGGCTCCTGTTTCACTATTTGGTCGAAAAACGCAGAGAAGCTTTTCCCATACTTGGGACCTTTGTCTTCGTTATGAAGGAGTGTCTCGACAGCGCGGAGTAGACTGGCGCAGTCTTGAGTGCATCCGATGGCATACTTCTCCAAAGTAGCATGTTTTTCATCACTCGGTTGATCCTTCTTATTGTAATACTTGAATAGGCCATCATCGAGATGTGTGGCAAGGCTAGCAAGCTGGGAGTGTATTGCTTGCAAGCGGTGGTTGTCTAGCGGAGACTCGGTTCCAGAAGAGACGACGAATATGTCGGATGTGTCACTCAAGAGGTTTTCGGCAAACTTGATGAAGCGAATGATGTCGCATGATAGACTAAGTGCTGATATTGAGTCCATGGCCAGCTTTAAATGCGGTTGCAGATGTAGAGGGGATGTAGGCGTAAGACTGAAACGCGTGCGGAGAAAGAAAAAGCCTGAAGGATTGCAACTGAAGCCTTGTTGAGTTCAATATGCAGGCAAGTAGGCTGTGTAACGCACCTAACTAGACAAGATGATACGATAGGTGGGCATAAAGAATGCTACACCGACCATGACACAACGGCTATTCACATCATGTTCACTATAAAGAAATGTCTCAGATGGTATAATACATTTATTATATTATATAATTCAATGCATAAAGATCCGGGTAAGTTCGGCCTGTCCATGGAGGCCCAAATAATTTAAGACCTGGTTTCAATCATGCGACACCACATATAGATCCATCAACATTCAAAAAGTGATATGGGAGGCCCCTACTGCCGGCGGAGGGCTACTTCGACGAATAGCATCCAGAAAACCTTGCATTAAAGACGGTAATACGCCACACCGAGAAATGGCATCGTTGAGGGAGATTCTGATGGGCATGGTTGAAGCTCTAAGCCTGCGTCAACCTGATCGAGTGCGAATAATAAACTGGATATGAGGAGGCACCTATTTGTGAGCAGCACGCCCCTCTTCCTCTTCTTACCAAATGCTTCTCCTCATTACATACACCCCGCTCTTCTAAGAGCTTATAGAGCTCACGATTCACCTCGCGAGCATCATCTAGAACGCCGTGGTTGATTCTCGGCCCCCTATTTCTTCTCGCACTCATCAGATACTACTCCCAGGGCCAGAAGATCATTAATATGGCATTTGAGGCCATTCCGAAGGAGGTCGGTCCAGTTGGCTGTTGCTGCAAGCTGCGAAGGGGTCATGAAGGACCTTCTATCAGCTACGACTCGGAATACCAAAATTTTGTCAAGGAGCAGGAGCTTGAGCTCATCACGGAGCGGCGCATGTGCCGAGACAACCAGATCGCCAATTGTGTCGAACAATTCGCTGCCTGGCGCGAGGAGACGGCCAAAGAGGCGCAGCAGAAACTCGACGACTTCTTCGAGAACCCTTAAAGTCCACGGTTTGGTATCCAGCAGCCTCCTGAGGAAGACAAGGAAGATGAGGGCAGTTTTGATATCAGGACCACCCGAGCTGATGAGATATGTTGCAACTAAGGTGTTTAACGAGTTGATAGCACCATCTAATCTCAACTCTCCGGCATGGAACAATAGAGGGATAATGGGGATATCTGAAGCCTGCGGCTAATTCCGTTGGTCGAGTTTCTCGTTAGACGCACCTGTCACAGACGAGAAGGTACGGACCGGTAGAGTCGTTCAGGATGGACGCTTTAGAAGAGGGAATGGAAGAAGAGAAGAATCGATGACTGTCCTGGGATCAAATGGCGTTTCGGCTTAGTTTGCCGTGCGCTAGCACGCTGATATCGGGCCCGCTAGTTGGTTGATGAGATAGCACGTAATCCTGGCTTCTGATGGTCGACAATATCAACCAATCTCAGCTCTGTGACGTGCGGAGGAGGAATAACGGGCGAGGGAGCCTCAGGCTGTGAATTGTCCTGTTGCCTACCAGATCCGGTTCAGGGCTTTGACTTGTAAAAATAGAAACCCACTGGCGAGCATCACAACGAAAGCCAGCTCTCAAAATTTCCCCTCGAAAGCTGTTGGTGCTATAGCAGGTGCACTGTCTGTCAAAAGATGTGCCTCGGCAAGGGACTAATATGCCCTACCGATATAAGCATTGTCAAACAGAGCGTGTAATAGAAGATGAGAGCAAGTGGTATAAGTAACCTGAACGCACATTTGAGTGAAGTTTATTGTAAGCGCTCGAGAGAAGTAGGCGTCGCATGGAATGCTTGAGCTTCTGGTAGATGGCGTAAAAGGCGACATATATCCGCCTTGTCTTTTGGCTCAGAATACCAGAGAATACTGAAGGCAGAAACGGAGTTTAATAGATTCTTGAGTGCCTTTTTTCTTTTCTTTTTTCTTTGGGGGGGGGGGGGGGGGAGCCTCAAGTGTATTCGGCTAGATTCGAAATGTCGAGTGTTTCGGCGGCGTTCTAATAAAACAGCAGAACCCATCAAGCCCACCGCGCGGTTTTACGTTATTTTGAAGTCCTATACATTTAATAATTATGAGCCGGCGTTCCTTTTTGTAGATAAATAAGGAGTGCTGCGCTTGAGTATGTGCGTGTGACTGCGCGCACGTTCTGGTGGATTTAAGATCGTGAGTTCGCGGACAGCATCATACAAGGCTACCAAATTATAAAGGACATAGAAGTCATATTGTTCAAGAGTATCTAGAGCCGTGATAAGGGCACGCTTTGTAAACAATAAGGTTAGAAACTTGCCTTTGATGATGAACTTGCAGAGGCAAATGGTCGGTGATGGTGTGTGGGACATTCTTCCCAATTAAGGATATTTTTGCACAAAGCTACTATGTACTAGTTCAATACCCATGCTATCACCGGAAAGGGTCTAAGCCCCTGTGGCCTAATGGTTAAGGCATTTGACTTGAAAGTATCCCCTCATTCTTCGATTGTGCATATATACTAACCTACACACAGCTACCAAGTAGAGATCAGAGGATTGCGAGTTCGAGTCTCGCCAGGTCAGTGATTCCAAAAATTGTTGTATATCCTCTAAAACTAACAACAAACAGGGGTTGAAATACAATCATCATCTTTTTGCTTAATCTCTGATTTTTAGGAGGCAGGTGCTGGATAAGGTTGTCAGTGAGTGCTGTAGCGCGCCGTTAGAGCGGGCGCTAATGCACATTAGGGCTAGCCCTATTAAAAATAACCTCCCCGGATTTTTGGTGTTATCCTCTATAACCAGTCAGCGCCCCGTCCAACTAAAGCCATGTCTGTTATACCCTTGATATGCTCTTTTCGCGACTTAATATTAATTATAAAAACGACAAATTATATAATAACCCCAACTATAGATCTAGGCCTCTAAGCGTCCTAGGAGATCTCACAAAGCCTTTCTCATAATAAGATTTTACCTATCGACAGTGGAGACAAGTAAAACAGGACACGCGATAAAACAGTAGTGTCAGTGCCATCGGAACGAGATGCATCACGATAGTAGCCCAGTAGCGATCACGACGTGTCTAGTAGAGCGAGTTCACACACGGGAGGATGAATGGAAGGTGGGTGTAGCAGTGGTGGTGATGAGAGTGAAGGTGATGAAGTAATACTGACTGACATATATTGACTTTTACGGGGAATACGGAGAATCTCGTCATCCAATTACTACTGTCATTCTCCTCAGTTCAGCAACTGAAATGCGAAATCTTCGCCTATGAATCCTAGTTTGCTGATCCCGGAAGGGATCCAAGCGAACAACAACTTATCCATTGCCATCAAACATCAGACGCAAAAGGGAAATCAGCTCCGTGGTGTCGTTGGCCTGTAATCATACAAACAATTGACAACTATTGAGAGATACAAACCCCGGAATCACGGCCATTGTGTAAAGAGCTTGCTCGTTTGGCTGTGTGCCTGGTGACATATTGTGCGACAGCACTCTGCGCTTCTTGTACATTACGTGCCTAGCCTTTCGGCTAGCTGGAGCGCGATGGAGTCTTGGGCACATGTCTACAAGTGAAACTGGCTTTAATTAAGTCCGAAGTTGGTGACAAATGTAACACATCCCTACCGCCCTGTCAGCCATTCGCCTCCGTATCCTTTACTTAGTAGACATTGATAGCAGTAATGATTCATACGATCGGACATATATGTTGGTCCCCGATTTGACATCATAGGCAAAGCGAGACGTTTATCCTTGACAAGTGTCCCGTGAAAGTGTATTCAAACAAAAAATGGCATGCTGCCCATGTGGCAACATTTGCGAAAGGCGCCAAGACAAGGCATCTCATGTGCGTCGTCTAACCAGGCCCAGTATCGAGGTAAGAATCACTGCAGTCATCGCTTGATTGTCACATAGAGAATCATGAATAACGTTCGCACAGCCGAAGAACACGACAAACCGTTGAGAGTCCCTTCATGTGTTTCAGTGTAAACACCGGATAAGCCCCGTGATGCCTAAAAAGCGTCTACAAGCAATGGTCAATGATGCTACAAAGCGCCTCTAGGCACAAATTAAAGACAAACCAGATGTTTACCCATTGTCCAACGTGACTCAGTCCCTGAAGTTTAACGACCCATGTCAAACTACGTACGGTGGTACATGTTTGTGGTGCCAGTCTCCATGTTTGTGATGAAGTGGGACAGCCTGAGAACCTACCATCACAGCCAGTAACAAAACTAGAATTGAGGTCTGGTTATATGGTATCGAGCAGGGTTTAACGGTTGCGAAAAGATAATATACTTTGAGAGCAGTGGACCTATGATTGTATTAACGGCCGTCTTGGCATGTAGAGATAAACCTTGGTTATCAATGTTGGGTGGCTTTGCAGATTGATAGGCGTCGTCTACAGTACCTGCTTCTGACTGCTTCTAGAATGGACTTTGTCCCTGAGCCAATGCTTGATGATATCAAACGGAATCGGGTGACACATTGGTCCTGCAACGGCTGGAGAAGCATCGTGCACGTGCAACTCATGATTTCGTGTTCATATAGTGTTGAGAGTGTCATAGGCATCCATCAATCTGTGAGTTTGCTCGGTATTGAGCGGGACGCTACCCGAACGACTTCCTTTATGGCAAGGCGGCTGCAAACACTCACAGATGACGCGGTCACCAGAGTGCTCATTGTTGTTTGTGCCATAGGATGAACGCAGGTACGTTTGACACTGATGGATCACAAGCTGCATTTTTTGCTTGGAAGATACCGAACGAAATCTCTGGGGTGAGATGTGAGTGTTCGGGTTTCTATTGTGCGTTCTTGATTGTGTGTAGAAAACAATGGTCATAATCAAGGCCCGACTCACTGCATAGGTAGTCAACATGCAATGATTCAGTATCAAGGCCTCCTGATTGTCAGGCTGGCGTGAATGTGAATCACCAAACGAAACATCGGTTGATAAGGACTGATTCGCTGCCTGATCATAATACAGTGATTCATTGTGGCCTCCTGACTGTGAATCACCAAACATCTGACGTTCGGTCTTCGAATATGCAAGTATAAATTGCTTCCTGCCCCCCTTCTTTGCCGTCGGTCTTTTCTTCATACCATCCTTCTCCCTCTTACTTACATAGTCATCGTCAGAACTTCCTCTCTATCATGTCTTCCCCGGCCCAGGCCCCGGCCCCGGCCCCTCTCGTTGAGGGCGCCGCCTGTGAGGTCAAGGAAGACTGGGACCCTCGCACCCCCGGCGTAAGAATCCCACAAGGCCTCGATTCTACCCTCAGGGTCCGGCGAGGTGACCGTGTTTGGGTGTTCCGAACTAACCAAGGCTACGGTTTGACGCGTCGTCCCGAGGGTGCATCCCACGTTGAAGGTATGTGCTTGAGTTCTAAAGTCATCAAATTCTATCATACATCTTCCCTAAACTCATCAAATTTATGACATATCTTTCTTTAAATCTTCGAACTTATCACACGTCTTCTCTAAAGCCCTCAAATCTATCGCATATTCTCCCTGAAATTAACACATTTATCATGCATCTCTCCAAAACTCAACAAATTACTAACATACACCAGGCTGGGTACCCCTTAACCTCCTAACAAAGGGCAAAAAACGCGTTGATCCCCTACCCATCGAGCTTCCTGCTCAGTTCACCAGCTTCGGCCAAGGTGCAAGCCAAGTTACCCCCGACCCAGCTGAAAATATTCTACAAGAGACCATTCGTGAACTTTGGCGGAGCGTTAAGAGTGATGAGAATATCATCAAGGCTGCCATCCCGGGCATGTCGGAGCAAAGCAAGAAGATTTTCTTCCACAGAAATGCGCCCGCATATGCAGACATTGTCTACAAATGTGTGTTCCACTCATCCCCTTCGAACTAAAATAATATTCTGACCACGATATTATCTAGTCATTGTGCCTCAAGCTAAGGCAATCATGGGTGGTGGCAATTTCTCAGTGAATCACTTGAGAACCCTACCGCAGGTCTCAGACAGCTACCCTCGAGAACCTGGGATCTATGTCATTCTCTATGACGATTTTGGCGGAGTAAGATCTGGAGGTACAGTATACAATACTGCCATTTACATCGGCCAAACCATCAACTTCCAGGCGCGCCTGACAAACCACCAAAGTCAGATGGACGTTAACAACACGTCAATTCACTACCGTCTTGCCACGAAGGCGGACCGAATGAGAATGGTACCTCTTCTGTTGCAGACCGACGATACAGATCTCCCGAACTCTTTCCTGGATATCGCTGAGTTTTCCATGGTCTGTCTCCTGCGAAGTTGGTATGCATTATTGTTCAACCCTAATGTTCCCAACGCTGTTGGATCATATGGTATCGACTATGAAGGATGCTTGACGTTCTCTCGCTTAATGCGTCAAGTCCAAAACAGGACCAACTGGAACCCGAGCCGCACTTACGGCTTGAATTGGAACACCCCAGTTCTGAAGCATCCCAAAGCTGATCTAAACTGGACGGGATGGTACGATGAATCCTTGGGCATGTATGTATACCGTACCCGTCGCAACGTCTTTCTTCGGAACAATACGGCCACTATCCACTGGTTTGGGGAAAAGTACCAGGTTCCTCTCGAAGTTGCTCAGGATGCACGTCTTGAGAACGCTCAAGCTATCCATCTTGTGGTCGAGGTATACAAGACCAAAGATGGCGAATATCTAACTCACCCGTTCCGCTTCGTGCGATTTCCTCCCATGATTGGCCGGAATCCAGAGCTTGAAAAGCTTAGATCTTTGGCTATCCAGATCCAGTGGCTTGATGAAGGACAAACAGAGTGGAAGCAGTACTATCTCGAAAGAAGCCGGCTCTGGCTGACTCTCCCTCCCCCCAATCAGTCTATAGTGGGGATTTATCGTCAAGGTCTCGTGATCCTGTGCGATGTCGAAAAGACTGTCTATACCAATGGTCCTAACTGGCTGCCCCATCCCTCTCCGGCCCAGGTCCAGTTCTTACGGTACAACCACCTTGAGCAAAAGTTGGTCGCCGAGACAGTCCAGCACCGATCCATTCCTTGGCCGCAAGACAACACCATGCTGGAAAACGAACAGAGGCTTCTCGCTTTGTTCCCCCCAAACACGAATCCCAATACGATCATTGGGAGAGAGCCTGCACCTCGATGGCTCCCGAAGCAGCGAAAAGCATGTGATATGTGCCTTTCTCAGCGGACTGTAAGTACCTATACCCCACTATTATCTGTTCCAAAAGCTTACAAGTCTTAAAGACGACAAAGTGCATCTACAATGCCAACGATCGTTCTTGCCAATGCTGCAGACCTCTCAATCGACCATGCACATTCTCTCGAGCCGGGAATGACATTATGGATGAGTTCGTTCAGGGTAAGCGTCTGGAGGAACTTGGTATCGCCGTGAACATATCCAGAAACGAGGGCTCGATGATCAACACGTTGGAGGAGCCTCCATTCGATCCCGATATCGAGGCGGAGGAGCATGGAAACTTGGAGGAAGCTTGATTGGTGCAGGGAAATGTCGTAGTTTCACTCCCTCCAAGAAACCAGAAAGCAAAAGAAAAAAGAAGAAAAAAAAAGGGTAGGTGGGTCAGG